TGAAAACCAAATACAGCAACAATTCGGAAACAAAATAAAAACACAGAACTACAAAACAAAAAATGCTTGACCACATCGAAGGTGGTGCAGGCAACCTATCCACTCTTAAGGAAGATCCTATGCTATTTTCTTATCTGCGTGATCGTCCTTCTCTACCAGATCCTCCACAGGTTCTCTCCTTCCCCTCCTATGAAGTGCTGGAGGTTCAGGACTCAGTGATACAGGTTCAGGACTCAGTGGTACAGGTTCAGCTTCAGTTGGTTCCAAGTCATAATCCATATGGTCAAAGTCTGGCATCGCCATAGGTAGGTCTATCTCTAGTCCCTCTTCATCTCCCGTGAGAACAGTGGTCCATGTTCAGCTTCAGTTGGCAACCCTTCTAGGTCTAGGATTACTTCTATGTCTAGGTACACGTTCAACTTCAATTGGCAGTAAGGTTTCCCAGGGGGTTAGTAACGAAGAATGTAAACGAAGAACAACAGCAAGGCCAAACCACAAAATGAAAATGAGCACACATGCTAGCATTCCCATTATAGAACTTAAGGCGCAAGATATGGATTTGGGTGGCCCATCTATTTTTCGACAATTGATTCTAAACAAATTCAAAACCCAAAAGAGGTGGAAACTCACCACTGCTACTGCCTCAATAATCTCTGACTTGGAACTTTGGTCTTCCCGTGGCTGATGATCAACTCTCGCCTTCAACCATTTCTCCTCTAGCCAGTACCTAACACCCAATAGCATTAAACAAATGCCCAGAACAATCCAAGTTTGAAATTTGTATCTGAAAAGATTGTAAGCAACTGATCCAATGGCTCCAATTAGAAAACCGATAAACCCAAGGTCCGTGGAGGGTTGTATTATGACCAGTAGGATCAGAAACAAAACTGTGATGCTCAAGGCAAACCCCAGGCTACTCAAGTATTTCTCATAAAATTTCTCATAAAATTTCTCTAAAACAATAGTCAAAATAAAGGAGAAGCCATTTGCTATTAAGTTTAGCTTGTAGCCACACTGACCATGGATGAATTTACATTGACTCAAACGCCATGAATTAGATATCAGAACAGCTGAGATGATTTGGTAAGACAACGCCACTATGATTCCAGTGCTATCATGTTCTGCGCATAGTCTGGTTTTCCACAAAAAAATTGTTGTAGTAAAAAAAGCAATCTGGGCAAAGAGAACGGCTGATGGTGAACCCTTCTCCGCGCTATCACGGAGATGGTTCTGCAGAGTTTCTGATAGATTCCGCAGAGTTTCTGCTAGATAACTCATCTTCTGTAGAGGATAGAGGAAATATAGAGAAGAAATCACACAAGATGAAAATTAAATTGATTTGATTTGAGGAAAAAAGAGCTGTTGTAGAAGATAATATAGAAAAACACAAAAGAACAGC